TATGTGCATTTCTGTATGTATGTATGTGTGTACATATATATGTATGTGTACACATACATATATGTTTATACACTTGATTTTGGGGGCCAGGATTTGATTATGAAAATAGTCCATAAATGTTTTTCAAAAAATTTTGTCCTATTTTTCTTCATTGGCAATGGTCTCATTGCCACTATGCAACATCTCACTAAACTCTGGTGATGGTGACAAACTTATCTTGGCTGTTGTAATGGTCACTGGCAGCTAATATTGTCTATATGATTTGCATAGAATTAAAAATTCGTAGTTGAGAGACTGACTCCATGGCCTGGTAGGTTAAGGGAACTGGATTCTTCATGGCCAACCATGAGGTTCAAGTCCCAGACCCAGTGGCTTGAGAAACACACCAAGTACATGTGCATGCATGCCTGAAATCTGAAAAGGGGAGAGAGAGATGGAGGAGAATGGATTGTGATATGATTATTCTCCAAGGGAAGAGGGTTTGTACTATCTCCTCTCCCTCTCTGTCTCTCTGAGTGCATGTGTCTGTCCTCTAGCACACAACCAAAAAAATCCATGGTTGAAGAATTAAGTAAAATTATGAAAAGAGATTAAATTTTGACACTGCATCAAAGCCAGCCCTTTAAAACTAAGGGAGCTTTGAGTTTGAATGTTATTGTTCCTTGTGTGTCTTTATGATTCAATACAAGCTTATTTGTACTTTCTATTTCAGAATTTTGTCGATAGTGAGAAAACTGAGATAATAAAGTCTTACATTTTCGTCTTGGTTTATATGCAGATTTGTTGCCATTGTGATTAAAAATAATTTTTTTAAATGTGCTTAGAACTTGGGATGGGTATTAAAGAATTTAATGACTTTACAGTATTAGATAAAAGTGACTGTTAAGTTTAACTGATATGTGTGGTACAAATGTATATGAAGCTGATAACAGAAAAGAAACTGTCCTCTTCAACAGTAACACATGCAAGAAAAAATTGTTCATACTCTACAGCATCAAATTTGTTTACAGTAGATAGATTCTTATATATCACAACTATTAATAGTTTGCATAAGTCTGTTACACTACTTCAGTACTAGCACATTGTGTTTGCTTTAAGAAATTGCTCGTAAGTGCCATGCTATTGTTTCTAATTCCTGTACCTCATCTGATGATTGTCCTCATCAGTTTCCTCTGTTATCAAACCTCTTTAAGTGCAGTGAGTCACCATGATGGTCCATAGCGTTGCTTTTCAGGAGAACTCATCAACTGCAAGAAATTGCACATTACTGACATGTTTCTCTGCATATCGAGTTTGCAAGGCTTCTCATTTTAAAATGAAATCAACACATTTTGGTCCCTGCAAGAGTAAAACTGACTGAGTTAAATTCCATTAAAGTCAAGTGGTTCTTACTGCCATTATCTAAATTAACATTTTAAGAAGGGGGAAATACTAAATAAAAGGACAAAGTAAAACAATTCTTAATGTATTATGTGAATGGTTAATACACAAACACACACACACACACACACACACACACACACACAAACACACACAGACCCTCAAATGACCAAAAAGAGTTTTCCGAAGTTGTTTTTTTGTTTGTTTTGTTTTTGGTGAATTGGAAAAAGATGACTTCCCAGTACTATGGGATGTTATATTCAGAGAGAAGTGACTTTATAAAGCTATTTGGGTCATCAGAAAAGTCATGACATATTTTTTATGGTTTCTTATACAGCTGGGCTCCCACATTGCTGATCACAGTTTGAGTCCCATACCTGGCAGCTTGTTTTTTCTTTCTTTCTGGTGAGCACATGTTTCCTATAACACAATTTTAAAAATAATAATAAATAAAATAAGTAATTAAAAAAAAAGATTCATGACTAAATGAAACAGTGCTTTTCATATTGTTCATTGAATGGCGATTTGGGATATGTTAGTGTAAGAATGAGGAAAACTGTATTGAATTTTTTTTTTTAATGTTACCAGTTGCTAGTCTTCGCTCTTTAGTTGTCTGAACCTATGCCAGAATTGACATTTCCTTGGGACCACCAGTTAGCGTAATAGCTATGTCGCTGGACTCCCATGTAGTCAACCGTGGTTCGTGTCCTGGACCCGGTGTGCATGCGTGCCTAAGATCCCGAGAGAACAGAGGAGAAGAGATTGTGGCATGGCCATCCCCCTGGGGGGCGTGATTTTTCGCTTTCTGTCTCTCTGTCTGTCTGTCTGTCTGTCTGGTGAGCACATGCGCCCTATAGCAAAAACCTCTAAAAAAAAAAGAGAGTTGACATCTCCTTATCTCCTTTTCCTGGGTCCGTGAAAAAGACTTTCAAGCTAAATTAGACAGGATATCATGTTTTCATCAGTAACTGAGGTTTTCAAAATTAATATCTATCTGTTTCCTTCAACATATGGACATAGTGTTTTTATCATGTTACCTTCTCTTTGAATTCCAGAAAGAGTGCTTAAGAGAAACAAGGTCTACGTTGTCATTATTTTTCTAGATTTTTTTGCCTTATTTTTAACGTATACAAATTTGTTGTGTATTTTATATATCCTGTGTAATCTCATAAATCCTGTTAAAATAAGGAAGGTATGTACATATGAGACAAAGATTCTCATTAACTTAATGTATTTCATTTACTTAGTCTTTTTAACTTGGTAGAGGGTATGTACACTTACCAGAGATAGTCTAGGAGAGTGGGAGAGGGAGGAAGCTCTCCTCAATGGGGTATGGCCCCGTTGCAATCCCTTCTCCTACAATTCTCTATCCTGTCAGGATTTGGGAGATGCATACACACATAACCAGGTGTGTTTTGCAAGCTGCTAATTCTAGACTTGAACCATGTGGTCGATCATATGAGAGCCTGCTTCCATACCCATTAGGCCGTGGGGTCTGTCCAATTTAATATCTTTTAAAGCAGTGTTTCTCACCTTCGAGATATATCAGAATTATCTGCATAATGTTTAATAAAAAACAAGTGTAGGCCCCACATTGGACCTACTCAATCAGAACCATCATGGTGGTAGATCCTAAGCTGTTCCTGATAGCTTTGATTTTGAACCATTGTGCTAAAGCATGTTTTTTGCTTATTTAATTTTCTAGGACAATGTATGATATAACTACAGCAGATAGTTTTCTGGAATAATCAGCACAAAGATTTTTTTAAAAATTACTATGTTTTAATATTAACTTTAAAAAGATTCTATGTGCATTTCTGTATGTATGTATGTGTGTACATATATATGTATGTGTACACATACATATATGTTTATACACTTGATTTTGGGGGCCAGGATTTGATTATGAAAATAGTCCATAAATGTTTTTCAAAAAATTTTGTCCTATTTTTCTTCATTGGCAATGGTCTCATTGCCACTATGCAACATCTCACTAAACTCTGGTGATGGTGACAAACTTATCTTGGCTGTTGTAATGGTCACTGGCAGCTAATATTGTCTATATGATTTGCATAGAATTAAAAATTCGTAGTTGAGAGACTGACTCCATGGCCTGGTAGGTTAAGGGAACTGGATTCTTCATGGCCAACCATGAGGTTCAAGTCCCAGACCCAGTGGCTTGAGAAACACACCAAGTACATGTGCATGCGTGCCTGAAATCTGAAAAGGGGAGAGAGAGATGGAGGAGAATGGATTGTGATATGATTATTCTCCAAGGGAAGAGGGTGTGTACTATCTCCTCTCCCTCTCTGTCTCTCTGAGTGCATGTGTCTGTCCTCTAGCACACAACCAAAAAAATCCATGGTTGAAGAATTAAGTAAAATTATGAAAAGAGATTAAATTTTGACACTGCATCAAAGCCAGCCCTTTAAAACTAAGGGAGCTTTGAGTTTGAATGTTATTGTTCCTTGTGTGTCTTTATGATTCAATACAAGCTTATTTGTACTTTCTATTTCAGAATTTTGTCGATAGTGAGAAAACTGAGATAATAAAGTCTTACATTTTCGTCTTGGTTTATATGCAGATTTGTTGCCATTGTGATTAAAAATAATTTTTTTTAATGTGCTTAGAACTTGGGATGGGTATTAAAGAATTTAACGACTTTACAGTATTAGATAAAAGTGACTGTTAAGTTTAACTGATATGTGTGGTACAAATGTATATGAAGCTGATAACAGAAAAGAAACTGTCCTCTTCAACAGTAACACATGCAAGAAAAAATTGTTCATACTCTACAGCATCAAATTTGTTTACAGTAGATAGATTCTTATATATCACAACTATTAATAGTTTGCATAAGTCTGTTACACTACTTCAGTACTAGCACATTGTGTTTGCTTTAAGAAATTGCTCGTAAGTGCCATGCTATTGTTTCTAATTCCTGTACCTCATCTGATGATTGTCCTCATCAGTTTCCTCTGTTATCAAACCTCTTTAAGTGCAGTGAGTCACCATGATGGTCCATAGCGTTGCTTTTCAGGAGAACTCATCAACTGCAAGAAATTGCACATTACTGACATGTTTCTCTGCATATCGAGTTTGCAAGGCTTCTCATTTTAAAATGAAATCAACACATTTTGGTCCCTGCAAGAGTAAAACTGACTGAGTTAAATTCCATTAAAGTCAAGTGGTTCTTACTGCCATTATCTAAATTAACATTTTAAGAAGGGGGAAATACTAAATAAAAGGACAAAGTAAAACAATTCTTAATGTATTATGTGAATGGTTAATACACAAACACACACACACACACACACACACACACAAACACACACAGACCCTCAAATGACCAAAAAGAGTTTTCCGAAGTTGTTTTTTTGTTTGTTTTGTTTTTGGTGAATTGGAAAAAGATGACTTCCCAGTACTATGGGATGTTATATTCAGAGAGAAGTGACTTTATAAAGCTATTTGGGTCATCAGAAAAGTCATGACATATTTTTTATGGTTTCTTATACAAAAATGTGTCATGGCTTTTCCAGTGACCCAATAAATAAGCTACCACCTATGTTTTAAAAATTAATTCTGTATTTTCTTTGGTGGGTGTTGGGGTCTGGTTTTAGGATATGACAGCACGTGATCTGCTACAGCAAAGATACACCCTTCCAAACGGAGACACCGCCTGGCGGTCCTCGCCCCTCGTGAATGCCGCTCTGGAAGGCAAGCTGGTCCTGTTGGATGGCATTCACCGCGTCAATGCGGGCACACTTGCTGTATTGCAAAGGTTCGTCACAACAGAAATCACACACACACACACACACACACACACACTCACACAATATAACACGCCAATTCAATCTATAGTCACAAAATTCTCTCATTTGTTTTTAAAACTGGGTTATGTAGATCCTGGTATATTCATGATTCTACATCCAAGTAAAATAGCAGATTTTTAATTTTTATAAATACAGCACAGTAAGACTCCAAATAATTATCACTTTGCAACTATTATAGCAAAATTCTAATGTGTGTAGATGTTGGGAAAAAAAGCACTTCTCAGTAGTAATTTTGAAAGACTTTCTGTATGTAACAAGTTGCACAGCTGAATTTCTACAAGTAGAGCTGTTTACAAACTCCTGTGAATCACGGATCTAAATTATTCATTTCTTGTGGAATCTTTTTCTCAGAGAGAGAGAAAACACAGTTTTTATATAAAATGTATCATAGTTTTTTATTATATTTTACATAGGCTATAAAATCTTATAGTTACAAACTTGAATATTTCTGTAACTATGGCTTTCTTATTTGACTTTAGGTAGGGAAAAATATACATCCATTCCTAAAACTTCTGGAGGATTTAATGTTGAGAGAAGATTCTTCTTGTGTAACTTCCGTGGGAAATAGTTCCATCTTGTGTCATTTTTTAGGAGATTTGTGATACTGATTTTTTTTCACCTTGTTTCTATAACTTGTAGATGTTGATTTTTAACTTTGTCTCGTTGAGAAAGGTCAAATAAATGGAATAATTCATTTCTCCAACTAACTATTGAAAGTTTTTTATCCTTGACAAGGTATAGATAACAAGTATAATTAAAGGTCCCAGATGCATTGTATTAACACATATTCAATTTGAGAGCCTTTTAAAATAAAATCACACACTTTCAGTGATTCACCATAATCATTCTATCATTTATAGTATTTTCTCTTCTAAAAAATTGAATACAGAATACTTAGTCCCCTTTTATTGGTTATTTCTTGCATATTTGGCCAATTAGCAACAGTAGCAGCAGCAGCAGCAGCAACAGCAGCAGCTTCCATTAATTGAGTACATACTATGTGCTGAGCATTGTGCTAAGCCAGTATTTGCCAGGTTCTCAACCTTGTAATCTGCTTGTGAGACGGGAATTAAAAAATACTGATGCCTGGGCTCTATCTCCACAAATTCTGATGTATCAGCGAGGCTGAGGTCTGAGCATTGGCCTTCTCAAACACGTCCCAGAAGATTCTAATGCATAGCCAAGAGTATGATTAATTTTCATAGCATCACTATGAGGTTAATTATTATCTTAATTTTATAAAAAATAAAAGTTTGGAGAGTAGTTTTCTCCCTCTCACATGTCATTAAGTAAGGTGCAGGGCTAGAGGTGAATGCAGGTCTGACTGACTCAACTGCCTATTCTCCAAACCTCTACCTTACACACTCTCCCTTCCCCTCAGTGCTTATAGAATGGAGGTTGTGTAGGACAACTTTAACATGACATCAGGAAACTGGATGGTTGGGGTAAGATCTACAACAGTGCTTTTCAACACTTGCAACATTTGGAATACAGTGCCATTTGTGGTCTAAATGGTTAGGTTGCCATCAGAGTTGGCATATAAAATAGCAGTGTAGTTTTTTCATTATGAATCATTTAAAAATCTAAAACTTGTAATTCCAGAGATAGAAATATTTTAATACTATGCTCCTGTAAAGAGTTACGTTAGACTTAAGGGACTATGCACCAGCTGCCTTGTTCATTGATGTGCACCTCATGTCTAGCCTGTGACTCTCTTACCCTGTTTTTTCTTCTTTCTCTTCCTTCTCCTTTTCCTGTCTTCTTCCTCTTCCCTTTCCTCCTCCTCTTATTCCTCTCCCCCTGCCCTCCGTCACATCCACCATTTATACTGTTGCCCTCCAGTACAGAAACCAACAGTTTGCCGAGTATAATACCACTAGTAAACATGAAATTTGGAAATATCTGCCTAACAAAATTGGTGGCTCCTAGGAGCTGGAAAAGAGATGGGCTGGGAGGGATTGAAAAAAATTTAGTTAGCAGATACAACAGTACATATAAATAAGTGGAATGAGATACAGAATTTTAGAGTGCAGTAGAATAAAGAAAGTTAGTGACAGTTTAATACTTATCTCCAATGAACCAGTAGAGCAAATTTCATTTGTGCACAACGGTAATGTCAGAGATCATGGGTATGTTTATTTTCTTGATTTGATAATCACACATTGTTTCATGCTTTGAAAAACTACACTCTATTCTACGTAGATGTACTACTGTTATATGTAAATTAGAAATTGCAGCAAAATCGTTATATACATAAAAGGAATATTAGAAAAAAATAGACATGATTAAAACATTTACTAAGTGATTTTACCTCTAATAGCTTCAGTTTTCAAAACTGATTAATTCATTTCCTGACTTTCCCCATATCCCATTAGGTTAATTCATGACCGAGAGCTCAGCCTCTATGATGGATCTAGGCTGTTGAGACAAGACAGGTATATGCGTTTAAAAGAGGAGCTGCAAATGTCTGATGAGCAACTACAGAAGAGGTACGTTTGGCTGCAATATTCTTACTCTTATCATTAACTTGTTAAGTTAACAATATCATCCATTATTTTTCTAAACCTAGGATCATGCCAAGATAATTTTGGATAGCTTTCAATGTCCTAAGATGCAGATAGTTTGGTGTTTCTTAAAATTTAAGGTTGCAGGGCCAGCAGGTGGCATGGTGAAGGTCTTGGACTCCCAAATGGCACACTGAGATTCGTGTCTTGGACCTGGTGGCTTGACTTCTCACTTTCCCTCTCTCTGTCTCTGTCTCCCTCTGGTGAGTGCATGTGCCCTATAGCAAATTAAAATAATAATAATAATAATAATAAAATTTAAAATTGCTATTCAAGATACATGAAGGTGGGTTTTCTTTTCTTTTTTTTTAAAGAGATTTTTGCTATAGGGTACATGCACTAGCAGGAGATAGAGAGAAGAAAAGTAAGAAATCAACCCCCAGAGGGGATGACCACGCCACAGTCCCTCCTCCTCCATTCTCTTCTCGGGATCTTGGGCACACACGCACATGTGTCCAGTGTGAGTTTAAATCACTGGGTCCCGGACTCGAACTGTGGTCAACTATGTGGAAGTTCAGTGATGTAACATTATGCCATCTGTTGGCCCTGAAAGTAGATTTTCAACAAGATCATGGGAAGTGAGTATTCTGAAAAAAACTATGTGTGGATTTCAAAAAGTTTTGACATCAAAATATATTCATACTTTACAAAAGTCCCCTTTGTACTTTGCACTTTCAGTCTTAGTTTTAAATGAGTGCTTAATTTTATGAAAACATTGCTATTAGCAATTGAGTTTGGCCTCACAGTTTGTATCCCCTCAGCAAAACAAAAGCTGGGCTCACGATTAATTGGGCCATGTCTCCTAGGAAGCCATCAGTATTACTGGAGTATACCACATGATGTAGAGTAATTTACAGAGCTCTCTAGAGATGTAATAAGCAAGTCCATGTTTGACACTTGATTTGATCCTAGTGCTGAAAATAGCTATAGAAGATAATTTTTAAAAGTTAAAATGTGGGGTCCAGCCGTTGGCATTATGGCTATGTTGCTGGACTCCATGTAGTCAACTGTAGTTCAATTCCCGGACCCGGCGGCTTAAACTCCCACCAGGAACGTGTGCGTGTGTGCCCAAGATCCCGAGAGGAGAATGGAGGAGAAGGGACTGTGGCATGGCCATCCCCCCTGGGGGGTGATTTCTCACTTTCTGTCTCTCTCTCTCACTCTATCTTTCGGGCGAGCGCACGTGCTCTATAGCAAAAACCTCTCCAAAAAAAAAAAAAAAGTTAAAATGTGAACTATAGATATTACATAATGGTATTGAATTAATATTAGTTTTCTTAAGTATCATATAGTAATGTGGCTATGAAGGAGAATATTCCTATTCTAGGAGAGGCTGAGATACTTAAGGGATAAAGCAAAAAAAAAAAAGACAAAATTTTCTAATGTTTCAGGAAAAAAAAACCGTGACACTTATATATTCATACAAACATACACACCACAGAATGAAAAAGAACTATCATGTGAAAAAGAACACATATGCAGTGAAAATCTTAGCAATCATCAAAATCTATGTGAAGAATATATAGGTGTTTGCATTCTGTTCTTTGGAATTTTCTATGGCTTTGAAATTTTTCAAAATAAAAAGTTTGAGGGAAAAGTTTTCTTTGAGCTGCATACTATACTTCCTTTTAGAGGAAGTTGGTAATTATTAGTTACATTCCATGTCACATTTCCATAAAAATATAATTTAATATATATATAATATAGCATATTTAACATATATTATATTTAAAATATATGTATGCATTTTGCTATAGGATGCATGCACACATGCCCAGCATGAGTTTTAAGCTGCCAGGTCCAAGACTTGAACTTCTGTCGACTATGTGGAAGTCCAGTGATATCACCATTGCACCATCTACTGATCCCACATTTCCATGAATATTTAACATAGTTAGATATTTGTGCAATGGGAAATTTCTTATCACTTAATCTGACTTTGTCTAATTGAAGCTTCCCCTCTCTCCAAAGGGCTTACTGCCATATTTAACATACTAATATTCCATTAAAGATAATTAGTATTTTTTTTTATTGTGTTTGTTTTAAGCAAAAATGTGTTTAAAAATTTCCTTGGGACTTTTTCCTAGAAGGGAAATGTTCAATTTCTTACCATTTTTGTATGAGTTATTAAAAATTTCATTTGATGACACAGCTGCAATGCTTCTGAGATGTACACTACAGCCCAGTGAATGATTTGTTTCAGTATTTAGAGTGGTAAATTATGAAGATCACTCTCATTTCATACCTTCAGCTTCTAATAGTCAACTTTTGTACATTATTTGCATGTGAATCACCAGTCAGGGAGCAGTTTACATTTTCAGAGAGATGAATCAAAGCATGGGCAATAGCTCACAGCAAGTTTGCCCTGCAGTTTTCCTTAGGACACCAGGAACATTTTACTTGTTGCCAAATGTTCAGGAAATGACAACCTTTTTCTATGAAAAGTACCCAAGTTCTTCCTAATGGTCACAAGCAGTTTCACAAATGAATACAATTTCAGGAACAGAGTGGCCCTGAGCATCATGTTCAGAGTTTGGTTCAGAGTGATACTTCTCAAAGTTTCCACCTTCATCACTACTGCCTTTATTTTTCTTTTCTTTTTCTTTTTCTTTTTCTTTTTCTTTTTCTTTTTCTTTTTCTTTTTCTTTTTCTTTTTCTTTTTCTTTTTCTTTTTCTTTTTCTTTTTCTTTTTCTTTTTCTTTTTCTTTTTCTTTTTCTTTTTCTTTTTCTTTTTCTTTTTCTTTTTCTTTTTCTTTTTCTTTTTCTTTTTCTTTTTCTTTTTCTTTTTCTTTTTCTTTTTCTTTTTCTTTTTCTTTTTCTTTTTCTTTTTCTTTTTCTTTTTCTTTTTCTTTTTCTTTTTCTTTTTCTTTTTCTTTTTCTTTTTCTTTTTCTTTTTCTTTTTCTTTTTCTTTTTCTTTTTCTTTTTCTTTTTCTTTTTCTTTTTCTTTTTTATTTTTTTTGGAGAGGTTTTTGCTGTACGGCGCGTGCCCTCGCCAGACAGACAGAGAGAGAGACAGAGAGATCGAAAGCGAGAAATCACCCTCTGAGGGGATGGCCACACCACAATCCCTTCTCCTCCATTCTTCTCTCAGGATCTTGGGCACACACGCACGCGCGCCCGGTGCATCACTACTGACTTTCATCTCTCTCATGGATACAGACCAGCTTGCTTTGTTTCCAGATGAGGAGAGAGATCATAATGTTTGCTTCCTTTTATTTACTTTTTAAATTTTTCATTTGAATTTTCATTAATGTTAAACTTCAAGAAACTTGAGCCATTTTTAAAAAAAGAAATTTGTCCATGTTCACAATATTATTTATTCATTTAATTTTAGAGAGATTTTTTCCTATCAGGTACATGAGTTTGCCAAAGGGACAGAGAGAGAAAAAGTGAGAAATCGCCTTCTAGGGGGGTGACCATGCCGCAATCCCTTCTCCTCCATGCTGCTCTCAGGATTTGGGTCACACATACACATATCCTGCGTGAGTTTCAAGCTGCTGAGTCTGGGATTTGAACTGCTGTTATCCATATGGGAGTCCAGTGCCTTAGCCCATTACTACGTGCTAGCCCCTCGATGTTTACATTATTACAACAACATAAGGAGCCACAGCTGTGACATTTAGTATACTATGTTCTTTTTTCTTCTTGTATACATCTTATTTTCTCTAAAGTTAATAATTACCAACATCTGAATATATATAAAGTGTGTGTGTATGCATATATATACACATATATATATAAAGTATATATATAGTATATATATAAAGTGTATATGTATATATATATTTATATATACACACTTAAATGCAGTGTTAAAAAGTATTTATTTTACTTTTTTTTTTTTTTTTTAAATTTCTATTGGGCACATGTGCTCACTAGAGAGAGAGAGAGAGAAAGAGACAGGGAAAGTGCAAAAGCAAAACACCAGGTCTAGGACTTGAACTTTTGGCGGCCATGTGGGAGTCCAGTGTCTTAACCACCATACCACCTGCTGTGCTGGCCCCTACCATATACTTTTGATGTTAGAATAGAGATTTGTATAATAATACAATAGGAACATCAAGAGAGTTGAGAGGGCCTTCAAAACGTATGTATTCTGAGAAAACTATGCATAGATTTCAATATTTTTTACACCAAAATTAACTTGTCTTTTAATTTTATTTTCTACACACTTTTTGCAGCCCTTTCAGATATATCGCTTTTTCATCTCAAATTTTCGCTTTTGTCTAAATGTCCTCTCAGACATCCAGACCCATCCAGTATTCTTCAAGTACATCTTCTGTCCGTTTCATCGTTTCCCCATGGAGTATTGTGACAATCCCTAATCTGAATTTTTGCCCTTTATCCTCGTAGTTCCAACCTCATTTTACATCTCTTTATGGGAGAGATTTCCCCAATTTCCTCTAGTCTCTCTTCCTGTACCTTTCATCAGTTAAATGAATGTTGACCCTCCTGGGCTAAAATTCTAATTTTCTTCTGTTCATTCCTGTGTTCTGTCCATTTGTGGGGCCTTAACTTTTCAGAGGTGAGATGGCCAAGAGTGATCCTCCAGTCTTGTCTAAATTAGGCTTTCTACCAGTTGAAAGCCTAATGCCTTTCCTAATTCTAATCAGTATTTCTTCTTTTCACTTGAAACAAAACACTTTATTTTCTTACGACTGAGAGTAGTTTTTCTCCTTTTTTAAAAATTATGTACAGTCATGTTACAAAATCTGCTTTATTCTGTTGGTATGGATTAGCTGGTAAATTTCTTTTCCTTGGGAACCAGCAGTTAGCGTAATGGCTATGTCGCTGGACTCCCACGTAGTCAACTGCAGTTTGCGTCCCGGACCCGGTGGTTTAAAACTCACGCCGGGCATGTGTGCGTGCATGTCCAAGATCCCGAGAGGAGAATGGAGAAGAAGGGATTGCGGCGTGACCATCC